CATGGGGGATCCCAAGGAGGGTCAGGTGTCCATCAGGTGACCCCAGGTGGGTCAGGTGTCCATGGGGGTCCCCAGGAGGGCCAGGTGCCCAGGTGAGGGTGACCCGGGGGGTCTCAGCAGCGCCGGGCCGAGCCGGGGTAGCGCCGGGGCAGCTCCGCGCGGAAGCTCCGGAAGAGCTGCCGGTTGTGGTCCAGCTCGGCCTCGCGGCCCCCGTGGAACCCCCCGGGCTCCTTGAAGCCCCGGTGGGCCACGAAGGCCCCGTCCAGCACCGCGAAACGGAACCCGGCCATGTGCAGCTCACAGGCCTGGGGAGGGGGGCACAGTGTCACCCACCGCACCCCAGAGCACCCCATGGCACCCCCACCACACCCCATGGCACCCAGAGCACCCCCAGAGCACCCACTGATGCCCCACAGCACCCACAGACCCTCTGTAGCCCCCACAGACCCCACGGCCCCACCTCACGGCCACCCCACGACCACCAAGATCCCCCCTACCCCCGTGGCCACCCCGTGACCACCAAGGTCACCCCAAAGCCCCTGAGTCACCCCCACAGCACCCACAGCTCCCACGGCCACCCCTCAGCCCCTATGGCCAAGCCAAGACCGCCAAGGTCCCCCCCCCACCCCCATGACTTCCCCAAGACCACCAAGGCCACCCCAAGGTCCCCCCAACCCTCATGACCACCTCATGGCCACCCATGACCACCCCACGGCCACCAAGGTTCCCCCAACCCCATGACCACCAAGGCCACCCCAAGGTCCCTCCAACCCTCATGGCCACCCCATGGCCACCCCATGACCACCCCAAGACCATCAAGGTCCCCCCAACCCTCATGGCCATCCCATGGCCACCCCATGACCATCCCAAGACCACCGAGGTCCCCCCCTACCCCCCTGACCACCCCCCCCCCCCCCACTTCCACCCCCCCCCCACCCCCCAAGGCCACCCCCCGCCCCAGCCCCACCTGGCTGATGCGGTTGAAGCCGTACTGGAGGAACCTCTCGTCGAAGGGAGGGACCCCCCGGGCCGGGGCCACGTAAAAGGGCTCCCAGGGGTCCCTCCAGGGCACCTCGTAGGCCACGCGCAGCCGGGGGGGCGGGGGCAGCGCCCGCCAGCGCCCGAAGTCGGTGGGGGCCTGGCAGCGGGGGCACAAGGTCCCGTAGAAGGGACGGGCGTCCCCCGCGTCCCACAGGCGCAGCAGCTCCGCCTTCGAGCCCGGTAACGCCGTCCCAGCCCGCACCTCGAAGGCAGGGAGGACGAAGACCACCCGGGCGTCGGGGTCCTCCTGGGAGTTGGGGTCCTCCAGGGTGTTGGGGACCCCCGGGTCATGGAAACCTTTGGGGACCTCCAGGGCGTTGGAGACACCTGGGTCGTGGAAGCCTTTGGGGTCCCTCAGGGTGTTGGGGACACCTGGGTCATGGAAGCCTTTGGGGTCCCTCAGGGTGTTGGGGTCCCTCAGGGTGTTGGGGACCTCCAGGGCATTGGGGTCCCTCAGGGCATTGGGGACACCTGGGTCACGAAAGCCTTTGGGGTCCCTCAGGGTGTTGGGGACCTCCAGGGCGTTGGGGACCCCCGGGTCATGGAAACCCTTGGGGACCTCCATGGCGTTGGGGTCAACTGGGTCACTCAAGGTGTTGGAGAACCCCAACCTGTTGGGGACCTCCAGGGCTCTGGGGTCCTTCGGGACGCTGGGGTTCGTCAGGACTTTGGGGCCCCCCAGGGCATTGAGGACCCCCGGGGCAGAGAAGCCCTTGGGGTCTCCCAAGGCTTTGGGGTCCTTCAGAACTTTGGGGTCCCCCGGGACATCAGGGGCCTCCAGGGTGTTGGGGACCTTGAAGCCACCAGGAGCCCCCAAAACTTTGGGGTCCCCCAAATCCCCCTGAACCCCCAAAGCTTTGGGGTCCCCAAAACCCCCCTGACCCTCCAAAACCCCCCGAACCCCCAAAACTTTGGGGTCCCCCAAGCCCCCCCGAGCCCCCAAAACTTTGGGATCCCCCAAGTCCCCTTGAGACCCCAACCTCCCCTGAACCCCCAAAACTTTGGGGTTCCCCAACCCCCCCTGAACCC